TCATGTATTTGGACATGTATTGGGACATGTATTTGACCAGTGAAACCAGTGAAGATTAAAGTCTTTGTTTTAAGTCTGATCATTTCCATGAAACCTGTCACCAGGAGGAAAACTATAGATTTGTTTCTGTTACATCACTGGTTCTCAGAGTAGGGCTCCAGCCCCTCCAAGAGGACGTGGGGTCGGGGTTAACTATCCGTGTCGGGGTCACCACAGGGGTCACCCCAGGAGTAATACTGCAGCAACAAAAAGAGTGTAACTCACTGGTCTCTGAGACTGTCTCCGTCCTGGTTGGGGTAGAAGGCCAGTTTGAAGATGCGGTTCATGACGCTGCGCTCGATGGCCATTTGGGCGTCCTGCAGCTGGTCCTCGCTGGCGTACTGCCAAATGGCATCACGGGCCATCGCTCCGTACAAGTATCGTAGAAAGTCCTCCACTGCTGCCGTCTTGTCATCTGCTGCCGTACAAACCTGGAACGCTGTGAGGGTGGAGTACACGTCAGTAGTACTACGTCACTGTACTACGTCACTGTACTACAGCAGTTATGCTAAATATTATGCTAATATTCTTTGGCTTCATCTGTTTTGTCTTCATTTCTTTCTTTCAGTTTTGTTGTTGGTTTAATTTGTGAGATCAGATACACAGTATACAGAGTATACACAGTATTACTCTGTATACAGAGTAATACTGTGTACATGTCTGACGTTTTTATTCTGTTTAAATCATTAGGTACGTACAGTACGCACTACAACTGTAACCATCGCAGTACTGCAGGTTTAAGGTTTACTCCAGAGGGACAGTTTTTCATCTGATAGTACTTCATATTTAGCAGTATCAAAGTCAGACAGTACCAGGAAGAGGGAGCTCATACCTTTGATAAAATCAAGCATCTTGGATTCCATGTGTTCAAGAAGTAGTCGGACACATACGGTGGTGAAGTAGCGGTTTGCGACCTCTTTGTCCCTCAGCACCCTCTGCAGGAGCCTCTCTAAATGAGCCTGCGACGTCTGCAGACCCTGACGACACCTGGTCAGGTAGGCTATGTACGGAGTCCTCTTCCTGGAATCGTTTTGAAGGAGAGGATTTTTTTCACCGGTGCTTAAACAATTCCAAAATGTCTCCTCTTTCCAGGTCACCAGTTCTACCTGTAATCCTCAGCGATGGCAGCCAGCAGTTTCCTGCAGGTGCGTGCATCGAAGCGGCTGACGCAGCGTGTGGTCTCCTGGATCTGGGCCATCTGGTTCTTATCCTGGAGGTTTATGGCTTCTGCTAGCTGGACCTTCAGGAAGCAGACGATCTCATTGTCTACACCAGAGAGAAGAGTGACGTAGAGACAGCAGCGGTCACAGGTAAGGATGAAGAAGAAGCTGATGATGTCATCAACCAAACTGACTGATGGTCCGACTGTTAGCCTCGTACACAACATCACTCAGTACTGACGCTGTGTCGTCACCGAGGTTGGACAGAGACCACCGGTATTTACTACAGTCTAAGACGCCGTGTCCTACCATAGAACTAATGAACGTGAAGCTGCCGACACTCCTGACCCTGACCCTAACCCTGACCCTGACCCTAACCCTGACCCTACCATAGAACTAATGACAGATCAGTTACTAGGATCACGTGGCTGCTGACGTGCTTCCATGTTATTGGCCTGTTAATGAGTGAGTGAGTGCAGACAGAAAATCCCCCCCGTCGTACCTTCAGGATCTGTGTGGTCAGGAAGGCCGTTCCGTGTGGCTGCAGAAGCCATGATGGGCAGCGCCACAGAGTCAGCAGAACACAACGCCAACCTCAACTTCTTCTTTGCATCACTACAAGAAAAACCAAACTCTTGCTTGACACCCCCCAGTGGCTAAGACGTGTAGTGATGAGAGGGTGAGATCGTAAACAGTGAACAACCTGAAGGAGAACTTGGAGTCGTGCTGCTGTGCTGTCTGACTGGCTGAATCAGGGAGATCATCCGTGGAAATGTTCTGCAGAGCGTCTTCTCTTGGAGAGTCGTGCAAGTGTTCTTCAACACAAAGATCTTTGGGGGAAAAAAAACAATAATCAATCACAGCAATATTCCAAATAAATGTACGTAAACATGGATTTGTACCGACCTCCTGTACTGTCATAGGAGGCGCTGGCTGCAGCGCCATCACCTGGACTCGGTCTCTTGATGTTCCTGTACTTGTCCAGAATGTCTTCGGCTGCCTGTGCTTGGCTGTTCTGTTTGACCATGAGGTCGTCTGCCGAGCCAACAGAGGAGGGGCATTAGAGGTTGAGCTTTGTCCGTTTGGGAGGGCAGTTAAAGAGAGCTGGACTGACCTTGAGGAGTACTACGCTCCTGGGAGACATCATCCTTCTCCAGTTTGTCCCTTTTTCTAAATGCTGCTATTGGAGCTGCGTGGTAGGAACACAGAACATCAGAGAAGAACGACAGGTTGACCAGGACTCATTTGTTGACGGCAACTTCATTCAACGTAAACGGTTGCATTGACACCAACAACAGCAATGCAGGATGTTTGATGGAATACACAGCTGCAGCGGTGACGAATGAGTGAGCGAGTCACTTCAACCATGAATAAATCATGACTTCATTAAAGGCACAATGTTCACGTCCATCTGGTCGCTCTTATTTGGGACTTTTGATTTTAGTGTAGTACAGCAGTACACAGAGTACAAGCTGTACTTCATAGATAGTAAGTTCGTGGATGTTCAAAAGAGTGAAAACATTGACAAGAACATGTAACCAGCAGATGGCAGCACAGTGACAGTGGATGTCCACCATTATCACTTTAAAGACAGAGAAAGGGCGCCCCCTACAGAACTGGTACCTGATCTCTCCAACCACAGCAGACCTGACCTGACCTCTAGTACCTGCAGCTGTATTTCCTTGAAGTAGTAGAAGACCCCGGGCCCAGACTCTTCACTCCTGGACCCTAGCTGGATGACGCCCCCTACAGGAGTGAGGAAAAGGAAGGACTGCTGCCTGATGGAGGGCGGAGTCACACTGTATCCAGCAGTGATGTGAGCATGAACATCTGAGCTGAAGGAGGGGTGGAGGTGTGATGGACATTTACCATCATCTAGATGGTAAACAGTGGGTGGAGGAAATGTTCTCCGTACAAATCAAGGACAAACATGGATGAGGCTCAACCTGAGGACACACTACCACATTTATGACCACATTCTTCCCACAATTCCCAGTTGGTCTGGGACTAGTCTGTACTAGCTGAGGTCAGTAAGCCTGACGTCCGTCAGTGTTGGATGATCAACTGACTGTTGCCATAACCAGTGATGAAGAGGAGTGATGATGACTCCCTCTTCTTCACTGAATCCAGTCAGTGTATTACTGTGGACCAGTGGGTTCCACACCTGTGTGTACAGTAGTGTGTCCCCAGCTTCAGGATGTGACATCACACTCTACAAGCTCTGAGGCAACACGTACGAAGCAACATGGGAGACACAGCCAGCCAAGCTAGCTGAGGAAGAACAGCTGGGTGGAGTTACCTGGGACATCACTCTCAGCCGTCCAATACAGAACTGTGAGGAACACAACAGACAGAGATGGCCTTTCACACACAGGCTGTCAGTCTGCAGCAACTGACCGCGTCCTCATGCAGCGCAACAGGACAGACAGCACGGACGTTCAACGGGCCAGTTTAAAAAAGGCATCATTTACTTCAGTCAGACAGACAGACAGAAGAAGAGCAACAACAGACGAGTCGTCCATCAGAGCTGCTGACATGGAGCTCTATCTAACGACCATTAGACACAGGCTGACGGCACTGCTGGGGGGTGGAGGGGCAGTCCACTGTGCTCCAACTCCTGCGTTGACTGATTACTTTAGAACGTCTCTATAAATCTGCAGCCAGTGAGACATGAGCCAAGAGAGTGGAGCGACTTCAAACAACCAGAAACATCAGAAACACGGACCTCGCTCTCCTTCTCACGTTACGGAGTGGTTTTTACTCTGCTGTTAAAGTGTGATGTTTCCTGTCAGTGGTGATTAAGACGATGTCACACAGCAGGGAACAACACGGCACTACAATCACACGGCTCATTGTCTTTTTCAGTTCTGAGGAGACCACCTGAATACAAAGACCACCTGGATACAAAGACCACCTGGATACAAAGACCACCTGGAAGACCACCTGGACCACCTGGATACAAAGACCACCTGAATACAAAGACCTGTCTGCTTACCTTTGGGAATGGCTGACACAAAACGCTTCTTCCACCACGGCCTGTTGCGGTCGGACTTCTCGTCATCACTGTCTTTCCTCTCCTCGACCTTTGAACAAAAAGTGTCAAAATGGTGAACTGGCTGTTGGTTCTGAGCAGCACGTCAGACAGACAGCAGGGACAGACAGCTCTGGTGCAGACCATTACCTCTCCTTTCAAGGAGTCCTTGCTCGGGGACGACGAAGGTCCTAAGGCGAACGCGCCCGCTGGGTCACGATCTTCGACCGCTACCCGTCGGTTCAGGCCAGGGTCACTCGTAGGCCGCCGGCCCGGGCACACGATGTCAGAGCTGCGACTGCGGACCAGCCGGTCAGGGAACGAGTGGCGCTGCTTGTGTTCCAGCTCGGCCTGGGCCAGGCAGTGAGGAGCGAAGAGAGAGTGGCGAGTCTCCTGCCCTAGGGCGCTGGCTTCAGGGATGGGAGGGTCAGGTGGAGGGTGAGAGGGTCTGGCGTAATGGACTTTGGGTCTCACTATAGTTCCAGTGGAGGAGCCTGATTTTGGACAAACAGTTCAGAAAAAGAAAATGGACGTGTAACCAAATGAATGCCTGGATACATATTTGGTTCAAACACATTTGATCAGATCAGCTTGAAAAGCCTGAGAAGAAGTATTCACTACTGTGAGTACACGCCTGTACTGTGAATGTTCATACAGTATATGGAGAGGAACAGGAGGAAGAACCAAACACATGAAGAGGAAAGTACTAAAGAGAGATGTTGGTGGGGGAGGAGCCTGAGGTGGAGCGAGGCCACCTGTTCCAAGGGTAGACTCTCTCTCCTGAAAAACGTCCAATGGCAGACTCTTGCCATGAGCACAGTGGGACAAGGGGACAGAGCCAAAGAGCCCGGGGTGAGGTCTTTCAACCTGTCATCCCTTCACCTTGCCACAGACACCACCACCAGCAGCAGCAGCAGTATTTCTCCTCCACCTGCTCTTCAGACACAGTGAGGAGCAGCGGGAAACTAGGATTTTTAATATATATATGGACATTTTCTCTGCATTTATGATGTGACTGTTGAGAGGAGAGGCCACAACGTCATGAGAATGAAGTGAAATCTAAAGAACAAACACCTTCAGCAGAGGAGAGGGGATCAAACATGGCCAACAAGGACTCGGCCTGTGAGGGTGGAGAAGTCAGGTGGTGTGATCCTGCAGAAACACAAACAACGGCTGCATAAGATACGGAGCACATATACTGTATATATTTGATTTATAGAGCACACACATATATACTGTATATATTTGATTTATTTTTTTATTTGGTTCAAGTCTTACAAAAGTAGGCCAAAGTCTGACCAAAATGATACACTACACGGTGATGAGACAGACCTCCAGTCACCTGCTGGTCAACAGTGGCCAGCACAGCCTGATGGCACATACAGACCAGAGGCACAGAAGTCACTGCAGGTCTCTGACATGTTCCTACCGTGGCCAGACTCCTCTCCGTCTGGACTGGTCACAGAGTCTTTTCCTCCAAAGTCTGAGCTGCACTCTGACCGCAGGTCTTCAATCTTGTTGGGGATGTCTTCTGAGGTTGTACTAATACCTGTGGCAACACAACAAAACATTGGCCTCAGCTTTCAGGACTCAATCAGGAATGAGAACATGCATGCACAACCTTTTTTTTTTTTTTTTTCCCATTTCCCTGTTCTGTATGCCCAACTTAGACTGTCGCCCCGTGGGAAGTCTAAACTGGTAGCGTAAGCTCCCCTGGGTTCAGAGAAAGACACACATAAGAGTAATCATCAGAGGCAGACCATCCATTGGCCACTTCCCAGGGGACATAGTCGTACGAGCTGGGCCTGGAACATCACCGCTGGCTTCCTAATCTAGCCCACTACTTCATGCATGTCAACATAAAAAAGTCCACCTGAGTCCGCACAAAAAGACAAGCAGCATTAACCTGGATGTCAGAGAAAAATGTCCACTGACCCCTGCACTGGTTAATAACCCTCCCAGCGACATGACCNGCTCTTCACAGAACACAGGAGAACAACTCAAAACTCCCAGCCAGCTAATGAGTTTTAAATTTGCAAAAGACAAAAAGGACTCTGGAATCAAAAACCAAACTTTCGCAACGAAAAGACCAACAAAGAATGTGTTTAGATTTGCACCTGAAACAACACTGAGGCCTGGTGTGCTGGGTCTGGAGCTGACCTCTCTGACCTCCGTGTCGTCTGAAGTGCTGCCCACTCCTGAGCAGCTCTCCAGCTCCTGCAGACGCTCCTCCTGTTTCAGGTCTTGGGCCTCTGCAAACAAATGGTTTCAGAAACAGCAGAGACTTTTTCAGATGAAGCCATCTGTGGTCGATGATTGTTATGGTTCAACAGAACATACGTTAGAACGCCTCAGAACTGCCAAAGCCGGCCATAAAACCAGGAGGGCCAATACTTTTTCTACCCACCAGGGCCGTTGGGCAGAACCCAGAGGCTCCATACCAGCAGCAGTACCCATTTGCATGCTCGTTAGTAATAATGTGCTGCTGAAGTGCTCTTCAGAGTGTAGTTTTCTGCTGCCTAGCCATGAAACAAGCGCTCTACATGAAGCAGGCCAATCAGGGAGCAGAACAAGGGCAGCAACCGGAACAAGAAGCAATCAAGACAGTGGAGCGAGTCATTTCAGCACCGCCCGCGCTGAAACGGTGAACAAGTTCATTTGACAGAGAGCCCAGACACGTGGAACACTTGAAGCACAGTCGACAGTAAAAATACATTCTAAGACGAAGTCTCTTCAGAAGGTGGTCTCCAAAGGGTTTCTATTTGGAAGTCGAAGGAGGAGAAGGTGGTCTCCAAAGGGTTTCAAACCAGGGACCAGTCCAATCATCACAGCATGGGTATGGGTGTGTGTGTGTGTGTGTGTCGTACCCGAGTCACTGGGCAGCACCTCCACGCTCCAGGCCTCACTTGTGGTCTCTGAGATGGTGGAGCCATAAGGATCCAGCAGAACTGAACTTGACCCAGGGAGACACAGCAGACTCCCAAGCATGTTCTCTGCAGCTGCTCCTGAGAACCAGAACCAGAACCAGGACAGAAGACAGAACAGAAGAGGCACCCTGAAACAGGAACTTCAACGTTACAACATTGAAGGGTTATTGAACCCAAGCATGTTCTCTGCAGCTGCTCCTGAGAACCAGAACCAGAACCAGGACAGAAGACAGAACAGAAGAGTCCGTTAGAAACAGGAACTTCAACGTTACAACATTGAAGGGTTATTGAACCCAAGCATGTTCTCTGCAGCTGCTCCTGAGAACCAGAACCAGAACCAGGACAGAAGACAGAACAGAAGAGTCCGTTAGAAACAGGAACTTCAACGTTACAACATTGATAGTGACTTGATATGAATGAATTTAACATCACTTTTTATAGGGAAAAGGTCAGAGGTCACAGTCGCACCCTGTTCTGACCTTTGGGACTGTAACCTTTACAACTTGATAAAGTCTTTCATTCCTCAGATCCCGTCCTCGGTGTGGCATCACTCCACCATAGGT